ACTCTTTCCTCCACTTTCCAAACTTTAGAAAATTATTATTATTACTTTTAGAAAGTTAGTAGTGGCTGCCTTTGATTCTTTTTTTGCTGGCAAGTACCCAGTTTTCTCTATGAAAGCAGTAGAAAGGCCACCGAATGCTCAGAGGTGTCACTGTTAACTACCAACAAAAGGATGTTCCCCTATTTGGAAAGGCTCAGTCATTACAAGCTATCTTCAGAACGACAGGGTCTGCCCCAGGGAGAATTCCGACTCTGAGACATCACAAAGGTAAGTTGCTTATTCCGGACTGACTTATTTTTAGAGCTTGGGTTTTGATTTGAGGGAACACAGCGCCTGCAATTCGAAGCTCAGATTAACATCAGTAAACAGAGGGTCCGTCTCCACTGGCTTTTGCCTCTTGAGCTCAGAGACGGAAGGAGAACAAGCCTTGTCCACTCCCCTCCCTTCTGTCCTATCCGGAGAGTTTATAGCGAGAAATCTAATATTAAAAGCGCATCATAAGTGGTCAGTTTATGCTGCCAGAGACTATATCTCAGTGGCCACCACTAGGGGGACCCAGAGTCCAGGTGCTTGGCCGAGGTGGGAGTAGTTTCTGGTCAGTGGGAAAATGACGGAGCTCTCTTATTGAGTTGGTTTCTCCCCGCCCTCCTCCCCCCTCCTTCCTCCTCCCTCCCCTCACACAACTATTGGCTCACCAGGGCACCCCAAAGTCAGGCTCAGGGTACCGATAGCCCAGTGCACATGTGCGGCACTTATTTATAATTTCACAATGATTATTTTTGTTTTAGATGTTCCTTTTGCCTTGTGCAAAGGATCACACTTCACGCAAAGCCTTTTACTCACATTTTCATTATTTGCTGCATTTTGAAAAACTATTGCAAAAGTTTTTACCACTATAAGAAATTTGTTAGAGGTAATGCCTTTGCCTGTTGGGTCCAGGGAGGCTGAGACATGGAAGCAATGACTTTCATTTGACGGATGACTGAGGTCAGGTTATGGGTGGATGAAGAGTCACTCTTTCCTCCACTTTCCAAACTTTAGAAAATTATTATTATTACTTTTAGAAAGTTAGTAGTGGCTGCCTTTGATTCTTTTTTTGCTGGCAAGTACCCAGTTTTCTCTATGAAAGCAGTAGAAAGGCCACCGAATGCTCAGAGGTGTCACTGTTAACTACCAACAAAAGGATGTTCCCCTATTTGGAAAGGCTCAGTCATTACAAGCTATCTTCAGAACGACAGGGTCTGCCCCAGGGAGAATTCCGACTCTGAGACATCACAAAGGTAAGTTGCTTATTCCGGACTGACTTATTTTTAGAGCTTGGGTTTTGATTTGAGGGAACACAGCGCCTGCAATTCGAAGCTCAGATTAACATCAGTAAACAGAGGGTCCGTCTCCACTGGCTTTTGCCTCTTGAGCTCAGAGACGGAAGGAGAACAAGCCTTGTCCACTCCCCTCCCTTCTGTCCTATCCGGAGAGTTTATAGCGAGAAATCTAATATTAAAAGCGCATCATAAGTGGTCAGTTTATGCTGCCAGAGACTATATCTCAGTGGCCACCACTAGGGGGACCCAGAGTCCAGGTGCTTGGCCGAGGTGGGAGTAGTTTCTGGTCAGTGGGAAAATGACGGAGCTCTCTTATTGAGTTGGTTTCTCCCCGCCCTCCTCCCCCCTCCTTCCTCCTCCCTCCCCTCACACAACTATTGGCTCACCAGGGCACCCCAAAGTCAGGCTCAGGGTACCGATAGCCCAGTGCACATGTGCGGCACTTATTTATAATTTCACAATGATTATTTTTGTTTTAGATGTTCCTTTTGCCTTGTGCAAAGGATCACACTTCACGCAAAGCCTTTTACTCACATTTTCATTATTTGCTGCATTTTGAAAAACTATTGCAAAAGTTTTTACCACTATAAGAAATTTGTTAGAGGTAATGCCTTTGCCTGTTGGGTCCAGGGAGGCTGAGACATGGAAGCAATGACTTTCATTTGACGGATGACTGAGGTCAGGTTATGGGTGGATGAAGAGTCTGGGGTCTGGCTGGTGGCCGTGCATTTTCAGATTGTGTAAACCTACCTTGGGCCTCAGGTTGAAGACCTCAAAGCACAGAAGGGCAGATTGTATAACTAAAGAGGATCCTAAGACTAATGACTTAGAAGAATAGTAAAGCAAAGCTTGAATTAGTGTTCTAGTTTATACTTTTCCTACAGGCGCTATTGTTAGCTTAAGGCAGAGTTTATGGCTCTATTTCATAGAAAGTTACAGATAAATACAGGCAGAACCTCCTTTGCTCCTGGGATGTGGAACACGTATGGAAAGATATGAGTGAAGACTTCAATAAAAACAGACTATTTCTCTATTTTTAGAACAGATCATCTTTGTTAAAATACACCAGTAGTTAGCTGTTCAAAGCAGGTGGGTCAATAGGATTATGATGAGTACATATCAATATTTTTTCTTTCCTGTTAGAGTTATTTACTGGGTCTCATTATTATATCTACAGGGGATTTGGCAGGTAGAGTATAGAGAAAAGATACCAAGTGCTCACTTGATATAAAAGAAAAAGCAAGGCTATGGGTCTTGCAAATGGCTCCCAAAGAAGGGGCAAAATTGTATTTTTATTAAAGCAATTTGTCAGGCTTCCTTTGAAAGGCTTAACCTCTTCCTCCTGGCTTGGCAATAAATAACCTCAAGTATTTAATTTAAACAATGCTTTAAAACCATCTAAAAATTGCTTTAGAGAGAGATCAAATTTTAATTTAAGTAAATATTTGAAAATTTAAAATATATTAAGAGGTGTTTTAAAAAATTGTTTATTAATTTATTTTCCCAAGGGTTTTTAAAAAGCGAAATTGTTAGACTTTGTGGGGGACATACTTAAGGTTATAGGCCACATACTGCCTCATGAATAAAGAGGTGACGTCAATAGTGAGTGAGGTTCAGTTTTCCATATTTTGTCAAAAATAAGAATGTGAGGTTCAGTTTAAAATGAGCATCGATCCCACAGATACCCCCGGATGGAGCACACCTTACCTGTAGCTTCCACCATGCCTTCTAGGATGACCACGATTTCCAGTTCCTCTTTGGGCAGCTGGGCTTTGGAGATCTCCCAGAAAGGACTCTGTTGGTTAATTTCGTGGCTAATGATGAGTGGTGACACCAGAAAGAGACGGTCGTCGCCGGTGTAATACCCTACGTTGATATCTGTCTGGTTCAAGGGGATGAACTCCCCCTCTGAGGTCTGTTTGGATTTGATCAACTTAGCTCTGATGGAAGCCTCCACGATGTGGGAATTCCTCAGATCCCCTACGCGAAACATCAGGCACAGTTTCCCATCCCTCATGGAAATCACTGCATGGGTGGAAAAAACCAGGGTCTCTGCCCTCTTCTTGGGTTGCGATATTTTTACAAACATGCATCCCACCATGAATGCATTGACAATGGACCCCAAAACAGATTGGATTAAGAGGAGAATAATTCCCTCTGGGCACTTGTCTGTGATGACCCGATAGCCATAACCAATGGTGGTTTCTGTCTCTATGGAGAATAAAAAAGCAGAGACGAACCCATTGAGGTTGGTGACGCAAGGAGTCCATGAAGGGTCCTCTATGTGGTCCATGTCTCCTCGGATGTATGCAATTAGCCACCAGATCATTCCAAAAAAGAGCCACGTCACTGTGTAAACCATGACGAAAATCAACAGGTTGAATCTCCACTTGAGGTCTACTAAGGTGGTGAAGATATCGGTCAGGTAGCGATAGGTCTCCCTCACGTTTCCATGGTGGACGTTGCACTTTCCATCTTTCCGCACGTACCTCTGGATTTTCCTTTTGGTCCGGTCTCGGCTGATGTGTCTTGGCAGGTCGTCCCTGGCCTGCTTAGGCAATTTTGGCTGGTGAATGGCCACAGGGCTCTCAACATCCTGATCCATGGAGTCACCCTCCAGGACGTTAGCTGGTGGTTTGGAAAAAAGAAAAGAAAAACTGAATGAAAAGCTGGCTCTTTGGAGGTCATGGAAATCCCACTGTGGATGGAATATGGTAGGAAACCATCATTTGACCGTTTGTGTAGCTATTAACAGTGTAGATGAAGCCTTTTTGGGGGGCTGTCATCTGAATGGGTTGCCTTGGACTCCTGGCCTCTGTGATCTAGCTTGTGTAAGGACTTCACCACCCTTCTCACAGGGAGAGAGCTTAACTGCTGTGAAATTGTCTCCCTGCCAGCAAGTTCTAAGAGTCAGCTTTTACAGTGGGATGTGTCTGCACTCTCTCTGAGATGCTGTGGTATGTGAGAGGCAGTGCACTCTGGATAAAGAAATGTTTAGATTCAGACAGTATTGGGTCTACCACTCAGCAACTGTGGGCTCCTGGTCATGCTATCAGTTATGGACCAAACTGCACCTCCACTCCACCCCCAAATATGTTGAATCCCTAACCCCGTGTGACTGTATTTGGAGATGGGGCTTTGAGGACATAATTAAGGTTAAATGAGGTCAGAAGGGTGGAGCCCTAATCCAAGAGGATGAGACACCAGGGGTGTGCACACAGAGGAAAGGCCACGTGAGGACACAGTGAGAATACAGCTGTCTGTAAGCCAGGAAGAAAGGTCTTCCAAACCAACTGAGGTCACCAGAAACCAACCTTGCTGGCAACTTGATCTTAAACTTCCAGCCCCCAGAACTGTGAGAAAATAAATTGCTGTTGTTTAAGCCCCCCAGTCTGTAGTATTCTGTTATGGCAGCCTGAGTAGACCAATAGACTATTAAAATTCACTGATTGATCCTCAGTTTTCACATTTACAAAATGGTAATCATGATAGCCAATTCATAGGGTTGTTATAAAGTTAAACAAAACCACGTGCATGATATGTGCCTGCATGGAACAGACGTGTAATAAACATTCTTTTGTAATAAATTGTTCCTTTGCCACTCTCCTTATATTTAGGGGCAAGAATTTTGAGTGAACTCTTTAAGGTGTCAGTCAAATTTTAGTCTTAAAAACATTCTGGGGCTTCCCAGGTGGCGCAGTGGTTGAGAGTCCGCCTGCCGATGCAGGGGACACGGGTTCGTGCCCCGGTCTGGGAGGATCCCACATGCCGCGGAGCGGCTGGGCCCGTGAGCCATGGCCGCTGAGCCTGTGCGTCCGGAGCCTGTGCTCCGCAACGGGAGAGGCCACAACAGCGAGAGGCCCGCGTACCGCAAAAAAAAAAAAAAAAAAAATTCTGGTTTTTATTGGTAAGTAAGCATGCATTTTACCCTAATGGTTGATGCAATGCCAAGGTTAAAAAACGTGTGGGGGAAATGTTCTCCCTCTTTCTATGTGTTTACACATTTCATTTGGTTTCTGCCTCAACATTTAACATCTGCAGTTTTGGCTTGCGGTTATTTTATTCCTCATGGCCTTCATGATTAATGCATCGGTACAATCATTCGATGACGAAGCATTAGGAAAACTCTCCCGGAATCCGAGTGCAAAGGGACATTTGGAACTGATGCTGCTGTGAAATACATATAAACCACTGTATGAAATTACTTGTTCAGCCAATAATTTCAAAGCTTTCTGAAAGTTTTATAAGCAGTTTCTTCCCTCAGGCTTTTATCCTGTGTCATTTGACTTTGCTGTGCATTTTCTCCCTTTGGTTAAGGGAGAAACATAGTCTGTTGAGAAAAAACATTTGTCTGAATAAGAAAACAGCTGGGGATGGGACTTGAGTGGTACCAACTTAACTTATGGATTAACCTTGCTCATGGTTGGATAGTTTCCTTAATTATCAATCCCATAGATCCGGTTTTAGACTTCAGCACAGGGAAGAGGCAGCATTTGGTCTGCAAGCTTGATGTTTGGTCTGATAGCTTTGACTTTAGATCGCTACCCTCAGTAATTCTTCCTTTGTAAATAAAACCTTGCTTTTATTTCAAAGCAGATACCAGGACAGGGACAGGATCTGGATGGAGGTCACGGGGAACGTCCCGGCTCACTGCAGGCACCCCTGGCAAGGTGGGATGTTTGTGGCCCAGGGGGCCTCATGTCTGAGGTCTCCCTGCTAAGTTCACCCTGAGAGGGAATCTCTAAGTGTGACTTCACGTGGGCTGAATTCGGCTCAGGATCGGCCAGCGTGGAGCGGCCTTGTCTGCAGAGCTGCAGTGTGGGCTGGCTCTGGCCCAGGTGAGGAGCTCACTGCTTGTGCAGAGTCACCCTGGGTTCTTGTTTCCCTGGGGTGGGAAGTGGAAGAGGGGGATTTGTCTGAATAGCTGACTCCCAACAGTCTTCTGCCATCTTCCATGCTTTAACATTTCATGGAGGCAACCTACACATACCCCAGCCCCCGGTATGAAGCTGTTTTCTGCACTTTCTGGCTTACTTGTAACCTTCCTGTCTGAAGGGTTAATGGAGGAGTAGAGATAAGTGCTCTGGACAGTCCCAGCAGCCTGCCAGTTGATCCTCCAAATCCATTTTTTCCCTTTTCCTAGCTCAGGACTGGACCACATTTCCCGGCCTCCTTTGCACTGAGGAGTGGCCATGTGCCGAGTCCTGGCCCATCAGGAGTGGGTGTGCCCTTCTGGACCAAGGCCTGAAATAGTGGGTGTGTCCCCTCCTATGCCCTTGTCCCTTCTACGAGGGATGATGGAGTCATGAGGTGGAGGGGCCTGGGTCCCCAGCTGGTGGCAGAGAGCTGCCATCCAACTAGACACAAGAAAAAAAAATTGTGTTTGAGCAGCTACGTATTTTGTGTCTGTTATCAAATTGAGCCTTCTAATTTTATGGGCAGCAGTATTGACATGGATAAGCAGACAGAAGAGTTCTCAGGGGGCTGGTGTGGGAAAGAGCAGGGAGAGAGGAAGAGAGTGAAGATGGGGTGTTTGGGTTTGGTGTTGTTGAAAAGAAACAGGGATCCAAAAATGGAGTCACTTGTGCTAAGCTCTACATCAGTCAATGGAGACGGAATACCTGTCCAGGTTCAGTCCCTCCCAGGAATGTGACCTTTTACCAGTCAGTCTGGAATTTCCTGGCCACAGATGAGGTAGCCTACCACATAGACCCCTGCCTTCCCCCAAGGCAAATGACCTTGCTTGAAATAATCCTCAATTGTTTATGACTTCCTGTCCCATCCCCTTTAGGCCTTTAAAAACCATCCATTTTGTACAGGACCCCTCCTGTCTGTTTGCTAGAAGGGATGCTGCCTGATTCATGAATTGTTAAATAAAGCCAACTTGATCTTCAGATGTACTCAGTTGAATTTTGTTTTCTAACATTGTCTTTTGAGAAATAAAACATTGCCAGCCATATCAGTAAACAAAGGATGTCAGAGTCATCAGCAATTGCAGCCCTCCAATGGTGAGCCCTGAGGGAACTCAGGAAGGACACAAAGAATATCTGCCATCAAGCAGCCATCAGACTGCGGCCACTCCCTATGGTGAGCCTTGAGGAAACTCTGGGTGTGAAAACACGGGATAGGGATATTGGCCCGGATAGCTGAGGTGCATATCAAAAGAATGATTTCAGTGAGCCTAGACTCTTGCATTTTCCTATGCATAGAAAAGCACTAAATTCCTTAATTTGAGATACCTAATTTTCTTTTATTAACAGTAATCTTTTGTTCCTACTACCCGCCCTTTGCTGTAAAACTCCTGTATATCCTAGCTCCCCTCTCACCTCCTCAGAGCAGTTGTCTGAGGGTTACTTGAGATGCTGCCTCCCAGGCTTGAAGTCCTCAATGTATCTGCTGAATAAAACATAACTCTCAACTCTTAGGTGTGCATATACTTTTTTTTTTAGTTGACACTAATGAACTAGCATGTGGTTAATTGAATGCCTGTGTTTTGTGTCAGGGAAAAAATATCAATGCATATGCTACTTAAGTGCCTTTTAAAAACAAACAAAAATGGAAGCAAACAAAGAAAGCTGAACATCCCAGGGAGTATGGTGGAAAGGTGGCTTTGGAGTAGGGAAGAACAAATCTGACTCTATATGGGATCTGTTTCTTTTACTTTAACCTTTGTGTTCTGTTGCTTTTGCTACAAGTTAAGAATGTTGCCTATAGCCTGAAGTATACAGGATAGCCCATTCTCAAGGCTCTGACCTTTAAAAGTGTAACACTTTTCCATTCATGAGATAAAAAGTTGCAGAACAGAGGATAACTGTGTTGTTGGAGGTTTATAGGAACGTCATGACTGGACCTACCTGAATAGCTGCAATAACAAAAGATTCCGACACCAAGAAGTATGCAACAACCAACTACACCCCCTTCCTTTTTAGTACAAAAGAAGCTTGAACTCTAACTTGGGTAGGATTGTTTTTTGGGACACTAGTCCGCCATCTTCTCGGTCTGCTGGCTTTCTGAATAAAGTCATTATTCCTTGCCCCAACAGCTCATCTCTTGATTTATCGACCTGTCGTGTGGCAAGCAGTATGAGCTTGGACTTGTAACAACCTCAGAGGCACCACTGCAGGTGAGGCAGTGGGTGCACGTGAGATGTATCCAAGGGAAGATGGGGAGGTAAGCTGGGCCTCCCACTTGACAGTGGCTGGTGGGGAACAGGCAGAGTTGAGAAACCAAAAAAGCCAATGAAATGTGAGAGTACCTGGAGAGTAGAGGAGACTGAAGTGGGAGTCTCAAGGGGCAGAAGAGGTGAGGCCAGCGAGGAGAACAGGTGGGGTGTGGAGTGGGCAGAAGAAGGCAGCACAGCCTCCAGGCCCTGTCCAGAGCAGGGTCAGGGAGCCCTGGCCTGGGGAGAGGGCCATTCCAGGTCTGAGCTGTG